TTATGACCAATAAGATTTGATGATTCTATATAAATATAGAATATCAACGTGATTGATCTTTGAATGTTTAACCAGAAGAATTTAGGATTCTTTGATTAGTCAGTGACCATAAACACACTTTGTATTAATTCAGACAGAGTCAAGTACATAATTAAAATAAACTTTATTTTCTAGACTATTTATAATACATGACAATCTATGAATAATGATGTGTGATGAGTGTATGATGATGTGTGGTGATGGTGTGAAGTAGATGTGTATCAGAACCCTCTTTTGGATCCGAGATGTCGGAGGGGTCAGGTGACCCCAAAGCATTGGAGTTCGTAGATTCACCATAGTGCGACCAGGTCAGTCCAGAGTCGTCTCCCAGATCACAACAGGCATGAAGGTTGTTGTGTCTAAGAATGTACTCTAAAGACAGGGGTGTCAAACTCAAACTCACACGGGGCCGAAATGAAACTCTGGGACGGAGTCGAGGGCCAAACTTAATATATTTTGAAAAAGTGACGGTAAATTTGCATGTTTTCTTTATCAACATATATGCAATTTTGAACCTTTAAATTTGGAAACAAACTTATTTCTGCATTAACACTGAATGTGGAATAACCAAATTACACACAAGCAAGTCAGTTTTAAATAAAAGGCATCAGTGGTATTCATTACTTGTGGTATAATCAGCATTTTTAAAATCTATTCAGGATTTATGTTTTCTTGTTTATTCATTTTTCGTATTTTTTATTCTCCTTATTTCTCCTGTAATACGTGTCATCGCTGCTGTGGCATCTAGCTTTCCCCACTGAGGAACAATAAAGGGATTTTCTATTCTATTCATCTATCTGCAGCCTTTCCACTTCCTGTTTACTGTAGGTTAAATCTTTTCTCACGGGCCAACAACAAAATAAAAATATCATTTTATCTTGAATGAAAATGCAACATCTCACCTGTTAACTTTCATGTTTTGGAGCATAAAACCAACATATTTAAAGCTCAGTTTGCTCCACTGGTTTACTGTGATGCTCACCTGTTCCAGCCAGATACCTGCATCATGGGGTTTATCTGAGCTGAGGAGGCGACTCCTGTTGTTTTGTTCATCTTCATCATAATAATGACAACATTAGATGACAACAGGTGCTCACATAGGTTTGTGCTGATGAACATGTCTGAGCAGCTTGACCACGTTGTTGTGTGTCGGGGAGGAAACACAACAGCAGCCACAGAGCCGTGCTGGTTTGAGCGTGTCGCTGTTCGCTGGAGTTATATCAGCTCTGTCTGGATGTTAGTTGGAAAACTTTCTCTTTCAGTCGTGAACACATTACTGAGCTGTTAAAATCTCCGTTTCTGGGCTTCAACGTCAGAAAATAGCTGAGTGAACTCGGCGCTGAGTGAGAGGAGTGTAGTTTGTCCGAGACAGCGGAGCTGCAGACACCGGCAGCAGGCGCTGGAAAAAACACAAAGGAGGGGGCGCGTCGGCTCCGCGCTGACGCCGCAAAGCATCATGGGAGTTGAAGTCTTTGCGGTAAAATCGGCCAGCGGGCCAATTTTAATATATTTTTTATATTTATCTCGCGGGCCACATAAAAATGCTCCTTGGGCCGCATCTGGCCCGTGGGCCTTGTGTCTGACATATGTGTCTTAAGAAGTCGGAGCTGTGTCAGCTGCAGCATGCAAACAGGTTTGACGGTGTGTCAAAGAGATGTTTCAAAAGAGGCTGGTTCCGGATTGGCCACTTGGGAAGTAATCTGAGTTTTATTAATTCCTATGTTATGATTTTCTGGCAAATCACAACGTGCCATGTTAGGGAGGTTTTACCAAACAAACCTCAGAAACACTCCTTCTCCAGATAAAAGATGCTCTGATTTGTGGATAAGAAAACCTCTATGTGTCATGACATTTCTGTACTCTCGTGTCATGGAGATTTGCACGTGTGTGTGAGCTTGTCAAGAAGACCGATTATAAAACAAACGGACCATTGCAAGGACACATTCATTTCAACCTTATTAATTTAGGCACAGATTAATCAAAACATTTCATTTAACCCCTTGTTCATACTTATATGATTATTTACGTATTTCATTTCATCATTCAGTATTCATTATTATAAAAGGTCATTCTTTATAACGGTTCGGTCCTTTATTCTGTGCAGGACAGTCTAGATAAGCAGACAGGCTTGGCAGAAAGACCTTGGTGAAGGGAACACTGTGTTAATAATCTCAATGTCAACAACACGGTAGAACCTTTCTTGCTGCTTGGAATATTAGAGGGCACACAGAGGCAGAATTATGTCTGTAGATGACTGGATACAGAGAAGGTCAAACTGTGGATGAAAAATGACCATTCCTGGATGTTACACGGGAGCAAGCAATTTTTTTCTTTTCTTTTTTTTTCGTGTCCTGTCTGGCTGTGAAGTAAACAGAATCAATGTATGAATGCTGGTGACAAGCCTTAGAGATTTACTCTCAGGTGGAGCACCAAAGCTTCTGCTTTTAATGTCACGCCTGATACTTAAAACTTTATTATTGTTTTTTGAATGCTTTGTAATTCCGACCAGACACGGAGACAAAAAGGAAGAGACAAAAGGTGGGGAGGAGGGGTTCCACAAAAATAAACAATTAATGATGAACAAGAGTCTGCTTCTAGATCTGCAGAAAAGGGAAACACAGCAATACAACAGGAGCAAGCTATCACTGCGTCAACCTGATGAGGAAATATAAAATCAACATTGTTTTACTGAACAATCACACGATAATAAATCACAGTGCATTTAGTGTTAACCACAGCCTTAAGACATTTGTTGAATGTGCCTAAGTCCATACTTATGAGCGCACCATGTGAGCACCTGTGTGTACACAAGCTTGTATATGAGGTTTCTCGATAGGAGTGTCCAATAGAGAGTGTGAGGGGCCACAGATCTACCCCGCAAAGATGTGTAAGAGATGGAGGAAGCTCAAAGTCCCAGAGAGCCAGGAGCTGCCCCAGAGCACAGGGACCCCAGGGAGACTGCGACCAGAAAAGCCCCTGCCCCCTTCGAGAGGCACAATGGATTGCCCCAGGGGGCCACAACCAGCAGCCGGCAGAGTCCCAGCGGATATCAGTGGCAAGCCCACAGGCCCACCCGCAGCCTCCTACCCACCAGCCGGCCGAGCCCGGGACCCAGCGACCCGGGACCCAGCTTCTGATAAAAGTTAGAGATAAAGGAAGAAATTTCATTTTCATCTTTTGAGAGATTGTTATTAATATATAAAGTAGATGTTTTTTGCCTTTCCACGTTTTTTTTCCAGATTAAAAAGAAGGATGAGTTTTTTTCTCCGTGTTCCAACCATCTAGCCCGAGACCTTTTAAAAGCTCCCCTTGCCTTTTTCTGGAAATAAAGGTCTAATTTTCCCCTTAATGAGTGCAAACGCACACATGTATACTTCAAATTTCATTAAACTCTTTTAAATAATCAGTATAAGCTTTATTCTGCTCTCTTATTTGTTGCTTTCCAAAGCGCATTGAGAAGCGCTGACATTCAAATTTGAAAAGCTCCCATTTTATGGTAGGTGTAATTTCAGACATTGAATTGAATTTAGTAGCAATTTTTTCAATGCCCAAGCAGTAATCATTTTATTGTAGCAAGGAATGGTTTAATTTCCAATATCCAGGTTTGCTACAATTAGTGGATCTTAAATTTGATAAAAATATATCTATCCCAGCATGATCAGTTAAGGGAGCAATAGCAATATTACAGCTTCGAACCCAGGGAGCTAAATTATCAGAGATTAGCCACAAATCTATACGCGATTTTTGAGATAAGTCTGTTTTAAACCAAGTAAAGAGGTTATTTTCCAAAAGGTGTAAAATTCTCAGGGCATCTAGTAAGGAAAGTTTACCACAGAAATCATAAATAACAGGGTTAAAATTATCTGGACTACCTTTTGCAGGAAATCTATCTGAAAATAAATTTGGAGCTTCGTTAAAATCACCGCCAACAACCACAAATGCTGAAGGAAATTTGTTCAATTCCATGAGGATTTTTATCAGATAAAGAGTTGAGGAGCGTGGTGTTAGAAACCCTAGATTTAAAGCCATAAACATTTACTAAAATAAAAAAATTATCTCCACATCTAATGACCAACAGAATCCATCTGCCGTCTTCTGAAACCTCGGTGTCTATAACTTCACCATTAAATTTAGGATGAAATAAAATTAAAACACCCCCTGAAAAATTAGTACCATGAGAAAAAAATAGCCTCCCCCCACCCATTGATTATGCCAAAATGTAACATCTTTTGAAGAGGGATGAGTCTCCTGTAAAAAAATAGACATCCTTATTTTGCTGCATACAAAATAAAAAATAAAGCTTTTCTTTTGGTTAAATCTCGAACACCCCGTACATGTAGAGAAAAACACGACAAACGGAAATCAGACATCTAGACCACAGAAGAACAAAACTACTTGAACAGTAGTTGTATTAAGTTATGTGAAAAGTTGAGAAATGTGCAAAACTTGAACTCACAAGCCAAAACCTAACACTGAGTTATCAAAATTGGAACAGACCCATGTAAACTATAAAGCAGGATCATACTACAAATTCAAAAACCCATAGCAGGTATCTAACTATTTTTAAATAGTATATGTTTCTCCCTCTCTCCTTTTTTAAAATTTTTTATCCCTCAAAACCTGCTCAAAACTCAAGAGTTGGAACCAACCAATCAGTATAAACAGGTGCCAAACAAAACACAGCCGTTATTTCTTTCATTTTGTCTACTTAGAAGAAGATAAGGCCAGAGGAATAGAACATCCGAAGCTTATTGCTTGGTTGACAAACATCAACATTAAACACGGTTCATCCAAGATGATAATGACATCAACTACCATGCTAGTGTTTAGAATTTTACACGTAATTGTAATATCCTACTACCCGTAAACGCATCTAAACGTTTGAACGTGTAGTTGCTACGTAGGCGCCTTGTCTCCCGCTCAACCCACAACGAAATGTCTTTATTTCTGATTGGTGTGTTTGAATAGTATCAGCGTATCTTATTGGTGCATTTTGAACTGCCACTGCACTGCGGTCTATTCAAAAGAGTTAGTCAACTGCAGTCAGCTCGTGAGCAACCCGAATCAGAAACGACACAAAGTAAGGTTGGATATTTTTCTTACCAAACAGCATTTATCCATCTTCAGATTGAACAAACGTGTTCTGGCTAGGAAGTGTGACGGCGGTTAAAAAGTAGTGCTGCTTCACCTTTTACCTTTTAGTGGTAGGTAGGCTGACGTTGGTGGATAAAGCAGAGGAAGCCGTTTTAAAAGCTAGTCTAGTTAGCCGTAAACCACCGAAGTCAGTCTCTTGATTTAATTGTTACACACAAGGATGAGGAGTCCAGCTACCTTTAGCTCCGATAGTGTCAGGAAAATATTTATCAGGAAGTATAATAGGTCGGCTGGAGCTGAAATAACAATAAAACACGTCTTCTCTTTTTTCCTTTAGGCAAAGATGGACGATTATGTCAAAATAGAGAAAATTGGAGAAGGTGGGTCTACTTCAAAAACGTTCCAGATTTTTTTTGCATCGTTGTGATTAAAAAAAAATTCTCACAAAGTATGAGTTTAAATCAGTTCCTGGACATATTGTACTTTGTGTGATATGTATCTTTGCGTTTCTGATCTGTGAAACATGAATGGCCCGGTATGATGTGTGCACAGGAGGGTTGTGTCCACATGTATGATTATTTCTTCTGCTGAACGGTTGCGTGCAGGCACCTATGGGGTCGTGTATAAGGGCAGGCACAAGGCCACAGGGCAGATTGTGGCTATGAAGAAGATCCGTCTCGAGAGTGAGGAGGAGGGTGTTCCCAGCACTGCTGTCAGAGAGGTGTCTCTACTACAGGAACTCAAACATCCCAATGTTGTACGGTAAGGAAAAGCTCCTTCGTCTAAAACTTTAGTTTTTTCAAGGTTTTGCTCTCACTTTTTGTTGGAGTCTTTAGTTTTCTCGCTGTAATCCAGCTGGGGCTCTGGCAGATGTTTTCCACTCCCCTCCTTAAAAGTACCAGTGTAGTTTTCAGCTTGTCCCAGGAATGCTGAATCTAATTCCTCCTTTTTTTTCCATTTTCCATAATTTTACCATCTTACATCACACCTGTAACGTCACAACTGGTTTGAAAATCTCACAGAACTTCACTAAAACACTAGTTTAGTGTTTTTCTACAGACCTACAACAGCTGACGCTGTGTACACGTGACTTTTTGTGATACTGCTGAAACCTCAGGCTGTTTGTATGAAACAACTAATCATCTGATATTTGGTGGAAGGGCTGTAAAATTTCAATTCAGTTTATTAATATCACCAAATCACATCAAGGGTCGTCTCAGAGCACTTCACAGAGTAAACGTTCAAGTTCAGTTTATTATGTCAAGCAAGTCAATTTTATTTATGTAGCACTCATCACAAAGTGATTCACATAAAATGGGCCAACTAATAAAAAAAGTTTTCTATCTAAGGCCGGGGTCTCTAACCTTTTGGAGCTACTTTTACACAATGAAAGTACCGAAGAGCTACCGCCATACAATTATTCACATTGATACTTTCCATGTGTGAATATGCTTATTTTAAAAATGCTATACTTACTATATTAACATGCATTGTATTCACAAGCTGTTTTCTCTGTATTTAAATACATCCATATTGTAACAAAAGTCAAAGGAAAATTGTGACATTCCTGTTTTAAAACAAAAAAAAACATTTTTTTTATTAATCAGATATTTTCAGATAATTAATAACAAATGTACTTCGTGTGAATGATTTGACCTTTCATTGCTTTTTGAATGGATCAGTAACCTTTCTGAGCACACGGGAACACCTAAACTGCTCCTGTTGACTCCCGGGCCCTGTGTCCTGCCAGGAGCCTTGACAGTAATGTTAGTTTTTCATAGTGTAAGCAGTTTTGTCATAAATGATCATACTTCCTAAAAACTAAAATCTTTTCAAATAATTATGCTGTGAATATTTTCCCAAATTAGGCAACACCAAAAAAAAATCCCCTAAAATGAATAATGCTGAAGATATTTTAAATAAAATACAAGCTAAATGTGATGTAAACACAGAATTCTAAATAGTTTGAACTGAAGTAAAAATGTACAAACAGAAGTAATATTTCTTCCTGCTTTCTTTGATTCATTGAATCATTTTTATAGGTTATTTTGCTAATGAAAGTTAAGTTTTGATCCACTAGTGAATAACTGCAGGTAAAATGGTGCTGTGCTGCCTTTTTTACGTTAAAATAAGGTTGGAGGTTTATCCTGTTTCTGAGCCTCTGGATCATCTAATCCGTGGGTCTGATGGCTGTGTAGGCCTTCAATACTCCGTTCATTACTCAGTGAGGCAATAGCTAAAACATTTGAGGGAAATTTGTTGATAATAAGTCACAGGAGATGTCCAGATGGTTTGGAAGCCTTTGTTCATCCAATGTTCAAAAACGGCATTTAATTTGCTTTTACTTTAGAACAGACTTCACTGTTGCCCAGAATATTTTACTGAGGATGTTTTCTACTCCTTAATAGTGTTAATTTTGACCAGAAGTTTTAATTTAAATTTTGTCTTTTGACTAAAATTGACAACATTTTTGACCAAATTTTACAAGATGAATGAGGAGTCAGATGCAAGCAGGAGTGTCATGGCTGACTGACACTCCTGTTGCTGGTCTCAGCTCAGTTTGCTGCGCCATGTTGTGTTAAGCCTGGTTTATGCTTCTCCGTCAGCTCCGCAAGGGACAGACACGCACGGATTGACGGAAGCGTTTTGCTCTCATACTTCTCCGTCTCCTGGAGAGTGTTGCAAAGCAATTGCCCGGCAGGACCACAGAAGGTGCAGCGCTGTTCTGTGGTATCCTGTCATGTATCCAGTCCAAGATAGTGTGTTTATATTGTGTTTTTTGTGTATATAAGAGACTTTTAACACGGACATATTTGTCTCTCATTCTCCCACCACTTCATGCGCTCACCACCTCTAAACCCACGTTTCCTGTCATTTCCGTCCACAAATAAAACGCTTGCTGCGCATCGTTTCACTCCTCCAGTCACGGGAGGATTAAACGTTCATATTTTTAGAGTTTTTTCGTGAGGTATTCTTCAAGCTTCTCCGTGTCTGCCGCTAGTTATCCTCGGCTCTCTTTGCAATGGCGGTGCTGTAAACAACAGCGGCGTCCTGACCAATCACAAGCTTGCGTAATCCGTCTCGTTCGACGGATGTTTAAAAAAGTGGGCTCGACTCCGTACGTACTTGCGTGCCTGCCGGAGCCCTACGCAAGGACGGATAATGGCGTTGCGTGTCTCCGCACTGACGCAGACGGAGAGGCATAAATCAGGCTTTAGGCTCAGTGCTTTGATGCAAGGCTTATTGTGTTCTAAAAATGAAACAACTAAATGGACTGTTTTTGATATAGCACCTTCTAGAGTCCTGGAACCCCCCAAGGCACTTTACAACACAATCAGTCATTCACACACACATTCATACGCTGGTGGGGATGAGCTACGATGTAGCCACAGCTGCCCTGGGGCGCACTGACAGAGGCGAGGCTGCCGAACACTGACTCCACCGGTCCCTCCGACCACCACCAGCAGGCAAAGGGAGTGTCTTGCCCAAGAACACAATGACAGTGATAAACTGAGCGGGGCTCGAACCTGCAACCTTCCGATTATGGGACTCTGAAAAGGGTGGGTAGTCTAAGCTGAAGGGGGGGTGAGAAAAGGGAGTTGCACTTCCATCTTTTCTTAATTTTTGGATCACTTTTGCTATAATATTCTGACTGATACATAAAGCTTTGCTGATCTCCGAGTAGCCCTCCCCTTTTTGTGTACAGAAATTATTTCCTTTCTTAGATGGTGACATTTCTCTTCCACGTGGAGCCATTGCTGACAGCATGAAATGGGAAGGGTTTTTCTTTAGGTAATGCCCTTTTAAAGTCCGTCACATACATACATGGCATACATCTGTCTGCCGGACCCCTTCTTAAACGAATCATTAGACTCGCTTGTGGTTATATGGTTGTTAATTCAAATTGTGTAGTCTTAAGTGTGGCATTTCTCCTAAGACTATAATTGGGGTGTACTGATTTTTGCAACATGGACTTGAATGGATTTGTTAGGAAAATCACTTTTTTGTGTGTGAAAATGAACAAATCTCTTTTGTAATCAACGGCCCACATTTGTGGGAGTATTTTGTAGTTTGGTATCTCATAGAAAATGTTGGTTCTGAAAGGAAACTAAAGGTTTTCTGATAAATGCATTTGGGTGTACTCAGTTATGCTGAGCACTGGATATTAACATTTTGTTGGCTTGGCTCTGGAATTTTAGCTGTGGCGCAGCGCAACGGTAAAGTCTATGGAAGGGAAACACTGTTTACTGTTTCAAGTAGGTGTAGTAAATGTTTCTTTTACAGAATAAAAAAGTGATTGAGTCAGAAGAAATATACATATTCCTGCATATTTGACTAGTTTAAGACTAAAATTAAAAAGAATTTTAGCCAAACAACAAAGACTAAAAACTAAATGAAGTTATCTTGTCAAAATAAACGCTGCCAACCTTCAGGTCAAATCAGGATTGAGCAGACAGACATGGTAAACTTTGTCTGTTCTTGTGTTTGTGTTCACCAGACTCTTGGATGTCCTGATGCAGGAGTCTCGTCTCTACCTCATTTTTGAGTTCCTGTCTATGGACCTGAAGAAGTACCTGGATTCCATCCCCTCTGGCCAGTACATGGATCCCATGCTGGTCAAGGTTAGTTCGCCAGGGGGGTTAAAGCCCAGGGGTCTCATTTATCAAACATTGCGTAGAATCCGTACTACAACTGTACTTAAGCTCTGCAAAAAAAAGTACTTACGCCAAGTAGGTTTGTGATCTATCAAACATGGAGTACGCACAGCTGCACGCAATCTCCGCTTCATAAATCAGAGACTAACGAGAAAGGTTCTCAGCTGCTTTTTAGTCACATCCCGCCCTCACCACGCCCACTTACTGCCATAAATGGTCAATGCAAAGTGCCTTGTGGATCTCATGCATATACAAGTGATAATGCTGCTGTAATTCATAATTGTATCCTTCTCAGAAGCAGCACTGCAGGTGCTCTCCATGTCCAAAATGAGCATAAGTTTTTCTGCTAAGTTTTCGTGGAAAGTTGCAGTTTTCCGACCCCGTTTTGTGCGTAAGCAAGCTTGATAAATGAGACCCCTGGTTCTCCTGTTTAGATGGGGTTGTACATTAAAGCTTCTCTTTCCAGAGCTACCTTTATCAGATTTTGGAAGGAATTTATTTCTGTCACTGCCGTCGAGTCCTCCACCGGGATTTGAAACCTCAGAACCTGCTGATTGACAACAAGGGTGTTATAAAACTGGCAGACTTTGGCTTGGCTCGGGCCTTTGGTGTTCCTGTCAGGGTCTACACCCATGAGGTGAGCATCTTTCACACCAAAGCCATAAATCCTGGACAGCGCACAGCTGTCAGCTTACTTATGTTACTACTCTGCTGTCCTTAGGTTGTAACTCTGTGGTATCGCGCTCCAGAGGTCCTTTTGGGCTCAGCCAGGTACTCAACCCCTGTGGATGTTTGGAGCACTGGAACTATTTTTGCTGAGCTTGCCACCAAGAAGCCGCTATTCCATGGAGACTCAGAGATAGACCAACTCTTCAGGATTTTCAGGTATATCCAACAAATTTCCAGTTTAATAATGGAATCGGGTAGCTTATATGGTTGCAAGGATTAAGCGATTTGACTACTGACCACGGTGTGAAACGCTGCAGTGTCTTCAGTCAGAGGCTTCTTCAGTTTGGCTGCAACACTGACCGCTACTGGAGATCCTTCCTGCCAACAGCCCTTGTAATATACAATAACTCTGATGACTTGGTTATTATTATTATTCTGAGCTACTTGTTAGGTTTTAACTTATGCTTTACCCCTTACTTTAAGATGCTAAGAGGACAGAGAAAAGATAAGAACAGATGAGAAAGAAACCTGGGTATAAAAATATTTTCCTTATTTAATTAAAACACACATTATTTTTGTTACTTAGCTTACACTTGTTCTTGGGGCTGGAGGTTCTAACAAATGCCACTAGACACAGCCCAACTACGAAAAAAAAAGGTACCAAAGGAAAATCACAGCTTTTAATTAAAAGCTGGAAAACAGACTATAATCAACAGATCTCAGGTAGCTTTTAAAATGAAATAGTTACATAGGCTGGTACGAGTTTCTACGGGTTTCTATAAGCCAAAAGCTCTCTGAAGCCAAACAAAACGAACCTTTTAAAGAACAGAGAATTCTTGGTTTTCTGTCCAGGCAAATATACCAGTGTGAAGCAATTGGCACTAAATACTACAAACCACTGACTCAAGCTTAAGCAGAATACCATGCAGAGGCTTTCCTCTAAACACGCGCACGTAATCACAATCGTATTCTACAAAGTCAGGGTGTCCAGAACGGAGCAGAAATGGAGACTACTCATGGGTTAGGAGTAGCTCCTCGGGCGTGTATCCAGCGTTCCTTTTATCCCCTCACGGGAACAAACACACTCAGTCCAAGATGAGCTGCAGGTGTGGCTGCAGCAATTCGGAGCGGGGACTTCCCAATAGCACATTGACACTGATGATTTTGACCATCAGAACGAGTTTACAGTTATAGTCTCAGCAGGTATAGTCCTGTAGTCCAAAAACAAACACTTTTTGGGGAAAATATGTTTGAATTTTCAAAGGAAATGTTAAATAAAAGCAAAGATGTCAACTGATAATCAGTGACCCTCAAAAGCTCTTGATTTTGATGAATCTAAAAACTTTATTGAAAAGACACCAAGCAAAATTTTAAATGAATTAATGTATTTACATGACAACTAAGGAAATATACGGATTAATTCCACATTAATACAAACAGATACAGCTTCACATACAAGAACTGTTGTTTTTTGCAGGGGTGGACCTTTAAAGCGCCCGAGCTCCAATGGCGCAACATTTTCTCGTCGGGCGGTAAATACTTGACGACTTACCGCCCGGGTGGCGCCCAAGCCTTATTTGTCATTTACACACCGGCTTTCACCTACATCATGGCCCCGCCCTGTAGGAAGCCGCCGTTTTCGTTTGGCGCGCGTGAACCTGCGCGCCTCTAGCCACGTACTGCACTTGTATGACTCGTGCACGTACTGCATGATTCTAGTTATAGTCACGTGAACTATAAGTTCACTATTAAAGACGAAGTGGAATCACGCTAGAAACACACAAGCACGCAGGAAGATCGCGCCACCACAGATATTGGATTTCTTGATGAAATCTCCGGCAAAACGCTTGAAAACTGGTGAGGAGAAGCGAGACAGTTCGAAACGGTATGAAGCAGAGAAGCGTGTGCGTAGGTGGAATGATTCTTGGCGGTTTAAAGAAGACGGGAGGCGCAGAGAATGGGCGTGTTCGAGTTGAGCAGCGCCTCGCCTGGAACACAGACGAGAGCAGACGGAAGCAGCAGGGGGAGTGGCTGAAAGCCGGCGTTTAACGCCGGGGACACACCGGCCGCGAAAGCGCCCGAAGCGAATCGCTCACGAAGTCTGACCGCTGCTCGCCGCTCCTCAGTTCAGAAGCGCCCCATTCGAGGCGCGCCTCGGCTCAGCTATAGTTTTTCTTTTAACTACTTGGTGTCCTCCATTTCCTCAGCTCTTTTCCTCTACGTGTGAGCGAGAGAGAGAGAGAGAGAGCGAGAGAGAGAGAGAGCGAGAGAGAGAGAGAGAGAGCGCGCGCGCCTTTGGTGTGAACCAGTTGTTTCTGCCAGTTGAATCTCTTGGACTTCCCTGTATGTGTACCGCCTTGATCTCACGAGGTTATCGTTGCCTACTTATGCATGACGTCAGAGCAAGTCGGCGTCAATTTGGACACAAATCTAACCGGCATGCACTGCTCGCCGATCACCGGTGATCTAATCTGCGCAGAACTGGCTCATCTCGAACACAGCCAATGGCTCGAGTACAGCAAAGCGGAGTTGGTGATGTACTGCGTTGTATGCCGGAAGTATGCGACGACAAATTCTTGTTTTGTTGAGGGAACAAACAAATTCAAACTTGAATACGTTATTATGTTTGTGAATGTGTACAAAATAAAGGTTTATTACATTTAAAACGGTTCAGTTGTTATTTTGACTCGTTTTGGCAGCTGACCAGCGGGGCCGGTAAATATTCAGTTACCGGCCCGGCTGGCCGGTTGGTTTTGAAGTTAATGTCCACCCCTGTTTTTGGGCAGTCTGATGTTGGTTTTATGTAGTTTCACATTCTTTACAAAACAAATACTTTGATGCCGTTAAACAAATAACGAGCTTACATTCTCTATCGACCTCCATCTTGGATTGCTATGAAACAGTGGCTCAACAATAGAAGCGTGAATCTGTGGTCACCAGGTGTGCAACCATACTTTTCGCACAAATCGTGCTGTTTTCCACCTCACACTAACTCCTACGTCCTGAAACAGGAGCATCGGGTTTTTTCCTACAGAGGAAAATCTCACAAGCCATTCATACCAGAGACCATAGAAGATTTATAGAAAAAACGTGTTTCAATCAACAGCTGGAGTTTTGGAGAAGACAAACATTCCAGATGTGTGTCCTAACACACGGGTCAGGACCCAACCCACCATCTGCTAACAGTTAGTGGTGTGTGAGAGAAGCTTGTATGATAACATACTAATGCTAGTAAATGGCTGTAAGGGGGTTACAGTAGCAGCATCAGGTTTGTGTTGATTAGACTCATTGCTGACAACCAGCTAAAAAGGAAATGGCTGCTTTGACAGAGGAAGATGATGAAATAAATGTTTGAAGAGCTTTTCTGGCCCTCAGCCAATCACAGATTGAGGTGTTAAATTTGGTCAATGCCCTAGGACATTAGGACATGTAGTTGGGAGGCTGGGATTGAACCACCAACCCACTGAGCCACAGGTGGCCCAGACCATTTCATTTATTTTGTCCCCCCTTTTTTTCTCCAGGACACTAGGAACCCCAAACAATGATGTGTGGCCTGACGTGGAGAGCCTCCCTGACTATAAAAACACATTCCCCAAGTGGAAATCTGGAAACCTACCATCCATGGTGAAGAACCTGGACAAGAATGGATTGGACCTGCTAGCGGTGAGGATGAAGAGTACACTGAACTTCTAAGATGTAGTAATGGCCTGAGCTGGATGGGAGGAAAGTCGAGCATGGATCAACTTCTAATATTAGAACTGGGACCAAAACATATTAATCACAGATGAATATTTGCTAAGTACAGGGATTTTAGTTGGGACTGTTTTGGTTGACAAGGCTCTGCAGTATCGCGTTGAATCTGGGGTGGTTCCATTAGATCGGCAGACTGGGGTGGTGGTTTCCCATATTTAAGAAAGGGGACTGCAGGGTGTTTACCAACAACAGGGGACTCACACTCCTGAACCTCCCTTGTAAGGTCCGCTAGGGTATTTGGAGTGGAGGGTCCGTGGGATTGTCGAACCTCAGATTCAGCTGGAACAGTGTGATTTTCATACTGGCGGTGGAACACTGGACCAGCTCTGTACCATTAGAGGGATGCTGGAGGGTGCGTGAGGGTTTGCCCATTCAATCTCAATGCGTTTTGTAGATTTGGAGAAGGCATTCGACTGCGTCTCCTGGGAGGCCCTGTCAGGAGTACTCTGAGTATTGGGTACCAGGCCCTTTGATATGGGCGGTACTTTTTAAAAACGTGCTCATAAAGAGTACAGTAAGCTGATTAAATAGGCCCATCCCAGGCAAAAGCTGATATATACCAAGTCTGAGGATTGCTGTAAAGTTCTGTCGCAAGTGTAGATATATACTTCCGGCCACGGACCCGGCATTAAATTTTACTGAAAAGGTATTAAATGTCACTATGTCAAACCTGGAGCTACCCTGTGAGAGTCGTAGCACCCCTCAGAATACGCACGAGTGGTTGAAGAGATGCTCCCTAGGAGAAATGAGTTGTCTTGCAGATTAAACAAATAATTGGTTGATTCTGAAAAAGGACGGTTCTTTATGCCGCTAAAATGATATTCCATTGAAAGGTCTGGTTTGATCTCCCAACGAGAGGTTAATTTGGCATGAAGGCTGGACACCCTGCTGAACTGCCTTAGGAAGTGCTTCCTCTTTTAAGGGTTCATTGTTTCTAAGTTTTGGACGAATCACAAGCCGAAATTGTAATGGCCATTATCCAAGTGTCCTCAGACATCCCTTTTCTCAGACACTTAGAAAATCTTATGTGAAGTAAATCTGTTAAAAATCCAGCCGCAGAGTGTGGAGCGGCTGGGATAAGAATCAGCTCCTCTAAATCCAAGACCGTGGTCTTGAATCGGAAAAGGGTAGAATGTAGGGCGGCCACAAATGAGTATTTCAGTAGTCGACTAATCGTGTCATTCATAAAAGTTTAGCTTATTGCACCAGGATGCTCTAATCATTATAGGGTTGGGCATCGAGCATCAATTGGAACTGGTTCCAACAGTTCATTTTTCCCGGAATCGTTCAAAGTTTTTTATTTTGATTCCTAGTTTCGACTCCTAGAATGCCGACTGGATGAGGAATCCGCGGCCGATCTCCGTGGAAAAATAAACGTGATCTGCAAATTGTGATCAACGCTTTTCAGAGTTGATCATACCAGCTGTCTGTGTGCGTCAACACGGTGGATTTAATAGAAGCTTTAAAGAACAAACTCTGGATGGTGAGTTTGTCTCACTGCAGAAATAAAAAACACAGAGCGTCAGCAGTCAGAAGCAGCCGCTCACCAACACTCCTGTGTGTGTGTGTGTGTGTGTGTGTGTGTGTGTGTGCGCGTGCGCGCGCGTGTGTGTGTGTGTGTACGTCAGAAGGCTGAACAATAACCTGTAGAATAATTAAAGTCATCATGCTAGAGCAGCTTCTCTGTGGTGGACCACACCAGCCTGTGCCACAGTAAATGATAATAATAATAATAAATAACTTTTTTTTTCCTTTCTGAACTATTTCTGTTGAGTTTTAATGTTTAAAATCTGTTAGGTTGTTACTGACAGCAGCTGCATTCAAGTTTCACTTTCTGTTCTGACTGAATGCTGCTGCAGCATGGAGGTGTAGTTCTCAGTCATCCTGGACATGATCATCCTGACAGTTTTAGCTGAAAACAGCTGGACGTTTCTGGATATGTTGGAGACATTTAGCCTCTCATCCCAGAGGCTTCTTCCAGACTTTGGTTGTGGTCAGAAACAAACACACTGGTTTTGCGGCAAGTCTTCTTTTTGTCTCCAAAACATGTTTTTGTCTAAATGAAGGTGATGTTGTTGTTCATAGAATTAAAATTCATGTTGATGTTAAGATTATTTCATCAAGTAGGACCTGTGGTTAGCTGGCTCATGTAAAGCATGGCACGTCTTGAAAGAATGGGAATCGGGAATCGATAGGAACCGGAATCAAAATGAGGAATTGGAATTGGAATCTGAATCGTTTAAAATCAATCGATGCCCAACCCTAAATTAGCTTCTAGTCTAAAGTGTGATCAGCTATGTGCCATCTAGTAATAAAGACAAGATGATCGCTTATCAAACAACTTTAATTAACTTTGTAACCTGTTAATATAAATGCTACAGTCAGATGGAGGTAGGCTCCTAAAACCAAACATGACTTGTACACAAAATGACTTGTGTTCACAAGAGGCATGGCGGCAAGGTTGAAGAACTTCATCTTCCAATCTTAACTCAGGAAATAGCGGGACACACTAAGGTACGCCTCTGTAGCACGGCTGGTCCACATGTCAGCAGTCAGGGACCATCGACAGCTCAGAGGGTCTGCTTTACCGTAAAGATACCAGATTAATAATTATGTTATATTTAGGAACGCACGTTTCCCAACATTTCTTTAATGGTTATTGAGGTCCGGTTAAGCAGAAACCAACCAAAACCCTACGCCCACAAACACTTGCCCCCTTCATTTTTGAGCACAGTCATGTGATGAGCTCATTTCTTCTTCTGCTTGCCCAGTAAACATATTTTGATATCAGCGCTAGTGTCCCCTCTAGTGGCACAAATTATATTACACCTCATCACAGCAGAAGGACTGAAAGCAGTTAACCGGTTACAACATTAACCGGCTATCTGTGTACATTCCTAGTTATATCAAATAAAGTAGGTTAAGATGAAAATGTATTGTGCTTTAGCAAGATTAGTTTCTTGATTGCTCAGTCAGCAACCTTTTTATTTGATCATAAAATACATTTTATTCTAATGCAGGTGAGATTAAAAAATGTTTATAAATTAAATAACGCGTAGACTATTAAAGGGGACAAAGAATCTAAACCAACATTTTCTTGTTGTTTGTGAATAAAGACAGCCTGGGTGATCAAAAGTAGCACGCCAAAAAGTCAAAGCTGTGTGTGACCTACTTTTTATGTAAATTAGAAAGTTTAAAAATGCCAAAGAAAAACTTCTTTTCTGAGAAATCTCTCATAAAAACTTCACAACGTGGAGCTCTTCCTCCTCCAGTCTCCAGTGTCTGAGGCCTTCTGGTTTAAACCAACCAATCAGCAAGCAGCTCATTAGCATATTCATGTCCTGGCCAAGTGGGAGGGGTAAACCGCTCTTTTCACAGTAAGGCTGATTTTAGACTGGCCTGTATGGCCTATTTGAAAACTACTATAATTGAGGTTGGGATGTTCTATTCCTGAGCTGCCCGCACACAGAAGGATGACTGACCTAATGTACTTTTCCTTAAGCCTGGTTCATTCTTCTCCGTCAGCTCCGCAAGGGACAGACACGCACGGATTGACGGAAGCGTTTTGCTCTCATACTTCTCCGTCTCATGGAGAGTGTTGCAAAGCAATTCCCCGGCTGGACAACAGAGGGCGTAGCGCTGTTCTGTGGTATCCTGTCATGCATCGGTCCAAGATAGTGTTGTTTATATTATGTTTTTTGTATATAAGAGACTTTTAACACGGACATATTTGTCTCTCATCCTCCTCCACCTCTTCATGCGCTCACCACCTCTAAACCCACGTTTCCTGTCATTTCCGTCCACAAATAAAATGCTTGCTGCGCATCTTTTCACTCCTCCAGCCACGGGGGAATTAAACGTTCATGTTTTTAGAGTTTTTTCGCGAGGTATTCTTCAAGCTTCTCCGTGTCTGCTGCTTGTTATCCTCGGCTCTCTTTATGTTTTTGAGAGCGCAATGGTGGTGCTGTAGACAACAGCGGCGTCCTGACCAATCACAAGCTTGCATTGTCTGTCTCGAGTGATGGATGTTTAGAAAAGAGCTCGACTCCATCCGTCCTTGCGGAGCTCTCCGGCAGGCACGCAAGGACGTTGCGTGTCTCCGCACTGACGCAGACGGAGAAGCATGAATCAGGCTTTAGAGGGATGGTATGGTCTCCTCTGGACGCTCCTTTCTGTGTGGCTGTTCTGATGTTCACAAATTCACTGGCTAAGGTGTATTTATTGTTTACAGCTTTCCCTCACATGAGGCATGAAGTTTGAGTGTGAGTCTACCTGGATGTGTAGGTATTTGTACTGTTGGACAATTCAATGTTCTTCTCCTGAAACTGATGTCTAGGTCTACAGTTGTCTTCTGTCTACTGCTTATGACTAATTGAGCTAACTGTTTTAAATATTGATAGTCTGACCATTGATTTTGAGAGTTTATTGGCTACTTCTTGTTTGGAGGTTGCACGTACATTTAAAACTAAAAGTAAACTCTGTCCAAGACTGGGGAGGTAATGCTGCTGATGCCGATACTAGTAGCATGGACGCTAATGACTGTAAAGACTTACTGCTTTGTTTTCCTGAAGCATAAACATGTATTCACCTTCCCATCTTTGTTGAAACACCTTCCCTTCATCAGTCTTTCTCTTCCTGGACGTTGTGGGATAATCTGTGGATGGTTATTTTCACTTGTTCCATTAAACACGGATGTGGAAATGCTGCGACCCAGTGGTGAAATACTGTAGCTGCACTGGTAACACAATCGCCATGCACTGTGGGAAATGTAGTTTATCGTTGGTGTACACTTTGAACTTGAAGATCTCATGGGCCACATCCGGCCCATGAGATCTTCAGTCTGACACGTCTGCGAGAGGGACTGTTTCTCGGGTGGCCAGGGGTTTCCTTGGGGTTCCCCCAGAGGAACTGGCTCAAGTCGCGGGGAAGAGGAAAGTCTAGGCCTCTCTGCTTAGGCTGCTTACCCCGCGACCCAACTCTGGATAAGTGGCTGAAAATGGATGGATGGATCTGTAAATGGGACTGAAATAGTTTTAAAGCTGACATTTGCTTTTTCTTCTTTTTTTTTTTTAAATAGAAAATGCTGGTTTACAATCCTCCAAAGAGAATCTCTGCACGTGAGGCCATGAAACACCCCTACTTTGATGACCTGGACAAATCCACCCTGCCAGCTGCTACCAGCAATAACATCTAGGACCCATTTACTCATTCCACTTCAACGCATTCATTTCCTCTGGGAATATTCATCTGTAAATACTTCTCTGTTTGTGTGTGTGCAGACCATAAAAAGTGTAATGGCTTTCAATAAACCTAAAATTAGCATGATTTGCTTTTAAACTGACATATTGGCTCCATTAGTGGACAATAACATTTCACCAGTTTCATTATGTAGTTAATGCAGTCTGAGTATCAGTCATGTTGCAGTTTTACAGCCTACTGGGTTAAAAACAAGCTAAAACGGTGTTTCTGTGCCTATCTATGAAATCTACTGGTGTAATGAGAGATTTCTCTTCACATGTCAATAGACCTAATGTTGGAATACCATAGACTTCATTAATTCCTCTGTGGGGAAATTCACTTGCTGCAGCAGCACACACACTTGAAGACTAAGTAAAATACGAATACAGTTAACTCAAACCACTAAAAACAATAAATAAATAAAAACTTGGTTTTCCAGAAGTATGCAGCATTAGAGACAAACTAATGTACATCCAGAATTACACAAGTAATGAACTCCTGAGTATTGCATTGATGTTATGTCAAATACTAATGCTAGTACCAGGAGTTATATACACTATCTGCAGAAGGGGACATACGACCTACGGTGGACCTACATCTTGGATGTCTCAATCTGCCATTGAAGGAGCTAACCATGATCTCCACAGGATTGCAGTGGGTGGGAGTGGTTTTCCAAGAAGGAGGTCATCTTCACCAGCGTCCTCCTTTCACACATCTCAAATGGATCTACACTGAACAAAAATACAAACGCAACACTTGTTTTTGCTCCCATTTTTCATGAGATGGACTTAAAGATCTAAAATTCATTCCAGATACACAATATCACCATTTCTTTCAAACATTCTTCACAAATCAGTCTAAATGTGTGGTAGTGAGCACTTCTGCTTTGCTGAGATAATCCATCCCACGTCACCGGTGTGCCACATCAAGATGCTGATCTGACATGAGTAGTGCACAGGTGTACCTTAGTCCATCTCATAAAAATGGGAGCAAAAACAAAAGTGTGGCATTTATATTTTTGTTCAGTGTAGTTGGCAGCCCAGAGTTGGCCTTTTTGACTAGCTAGTTCGGTCTCTTCCTGTCCCAGTCAGAGCTGCCTGCACCCCAACAGACCACAGCAGAGGGCATAACAGCTAACCACAGAGTGATGAAAGTGGGGTCATAACAGATTAAAATCATCGATTTGTAAACGCTACAACTAAAATGAGCCATTGTACATCTTTCTTCAATTTTAAATAAGTAAATTAGGAGCAATTGTGCAGACAGTGTTTTCCTTTAGTTAACGATGTGCTTTGTGCCCACTGGCTACTTTTGTTGCCACTCACAGAAATAATATCCTGACCTGCCAGACTCGTCCTGTTTAATTCTACACAGAGAACTAGTCTGGTTCCTCACAGGCAGAGAGGCACATGGGGGCGGGACTAGCCAACTACAAAATAACCAATCAGAAAATAGGCGTAAATGCCGACTGTACAGCGCGACTGTACTTTTTTTAGCTGCTGTCAAAAATGACATCTGGCAATGGCGCTAATATCTTTTATTAGAAGAAAGGCTTTTAGCGCTTCTACTTCTTGTGGTTTTACAGACATGTTCAAGTAATTTCGAACAGAGGAAAGAGCTGCAGTGAACTACTTCATTGTTAATGAGAAACACTGTTGCAGTGTGTGTGTGTGAGACGTACGATGCTCAGCACTGATTGGCTCGGTTAGAATTCTCAGGGGGTGGGGTTATTGGAATAGAAGAGTTGGTCAGGCTACAGAAATAAGCCCATGAAGAAAAATTTATTTATCCTAGGTACAATTTTTTGGGGTAGGGTTACACTAGATCAGTGGTACTTAATAGGCGACCCATGGGCCCGCTAATCGCATTTCCAGTGGCCCTTGGACCATTAAATTTGAGTAACCCTGCTCTACAGACGAATAATTAACTAATTATAAATATGTTTGGGGGAAAATCCTAAAAAGCTAGCATACATTGTCACGACGGCAACGTGGTGTCCACGGCCAAAAAGGTCGAACTCTTAAATTTGTTAAAACATATGTAACAGAAAATTCTCTAAAATCCATACAGATATGTTTGTACATTTCAACGGATACGTCTATAATTCTTATTTTGACAATTAGTTACGTGTGTAGCATCCAGTAAATATTGATCCCATGGTAACTTGGTGTCCACGGCCAAAAATGGCCACGGTCTGACATCTTAAATTTGTGTCATAAATTATGTGTAATAGAAATTGTACCTAAAAATCCATTCAGATATATTTGTACAAGTCTACAGTTTCATGTATAATTATTATTTTGACAGTTGTGTAGTTCAACAAATAGCATCCCAGCAAATATTGGTCCAATGGCCAAAAACTGTCACTGTAGGACGGTTTAAATTGGTAAAAAATATGCAACTGAATATTTCCTAACCATCCATTCAGATACATTTATACATGTCTACAGTTAACTGGGGTTACGTATTTCGACAATTTGTTAGGTGTAGTTCAACATAGAGCATGTTGTGAATCAGTTGTAAGTTTACATCCACTGGGCGGCCATTTTTACATTTCAAAGAGGTAGCTCAACTTGTAAGGCATCCTCCTTACACGCGGAGGACCCGAATTCGAAAACAGGCTGGAACCTACGAGGTTCCGTCTCAGGTGGCATGCGGGATTGCATTTTTTAATCCAGTAATTATATATTTTTACAGTAATGATACATTTTTTTTTACATTAATATAGTAATAAGAAGCATAAATTTTTATTATTAAATGTCCAAATGAGATGCACTGAAAGACGTTTATGTCACGGCCAGAAAAGACGTTGGCTCAACTTTCATTTTGGAAATATTTTTCAACCTTGACGGAAAGTGTCGGTTTGATGTTGTTTCAACGGTCATAAATGTTCGAATGTCCTCTTTCCGGGAAGATTTTCACCTGCCATGTCTTCAGCCAGAAGGAGCAGGAAGCAGATGTCATTAAAATCTTTGACCAAGCTGTCTACTCGCATATAAATGGGAAGAAGTTGCATTAATACCATTGCAATTTTTTATTGTAAGTTGAAACACAGTGATACACTTTGGCAACAATTGTTGCCAGTGGGGCCAAATGGGTTATCCACCACCTCTATGTCTGCTCCCTGGATGTTTACCGGTGAGTGAGGAGGAGTACGGTATTTCTCTGGAAGTCAGTCACGAAGGGTGTTAAGGTATATGTGGTTATGCTCACACCAGTCCAGTGTACTCCAGGACATTCCTCCCAGACACACAGCCGACAATGGCCGAGTCAGAGAACTTCTGGAGGTGACAGCTACTGGTGTTGTAGGTGAAGTCTGAGGTGTAAGTGGTGACGAGAAAGGGGGAGAGCACCATACCCTGTGGGGCTCCAGTACTCACATACTGTGGCCTGTTGGTGAGGTAGGTGATGGTCCATGCAGTCAGATATTCATCTGCTCTTACACCCCTCATCTTCTGCTGCAGTAGACACAGCTGGATGGTGTTGGGAGGCACTTGAGAAGTCGAAGAACATGATTCTCACTGTGCATTCCGAGGTGAGTCAGCACCCGGTTCTGCAGGTAGATGAGGGCATCCTCCAACCCCATGTTTGATTTATATGCAAATTGCAGTGGGTCTATCTGTGGGCTCAACACTGAATGTTGTTTTCTTGCACCAAGTACCGCAGCTATTTCCTAATGTTGGGATTCTCGCACACATGGCAATAAGTCCTTTACCTTAGTTTGTAATGGTCTGGTTTTTGGGGCGTGATGTTTTGGGAACTGGAACCACACAGAAGGTTTTCCACAGGATGGGGACCTGCTCCAACCGAAGGTTCAGGTTGAACATGTGCATGACCACTTCACAAAGCTAGTCAGCACAGTCTGGGGCTGATCCCATCAGGACCTGCAGCTTTCTTGCTCTTAAACCGCCTCGGTTCTCTCCTCACCTGGTCTGGTGTAACTGAGAGGAAGGAGGATGTGGTGCTGAGGAGGGTTGGTGGTGGGGGGAGAAGCCGTTGAATGGTGTGACAGGGTGTTGACTGTTAAAAAAACAGGTTAAGCTCGTTGACCTGTTGTGGTCCCCTTCGACTGTCCTGCTGGCCCCACTCCTCCCACTGTCCGGTGATGTTTCTGAGGCCTCTCCATGCACCATGAGCATTGTCCTGCCCCAGCTGTTCCTCCAGCCTCTTCCTGTAGCAGTCTTTAGCCTGTCTGATCTTACATGTATGATTGATTGACAAACTGTTAGCTTATATTTCCATGTTGCCTTCTATGTCCCCCTAAACATCAGGTTAATTGTTTATAAAACACCAATAGAAAGAAAAGATGTTGCTGCTTTTATTCAAATGCAAAAGCCAAATACATTTATTGAACATTAACTTCAGAGTACAGAACACATTACTGCTATAAATCCTGCTCACGTGATGGACACTAAAAACAGGTCAGCAATGCAACCAGAACCTTCTTTACATGTCACGGTGTGAAGATGTCACATTTTTATGAAACCATAATGAGTATATGAAATTGTCTTTTTCATAGGTAATCAGATATTTAGACAAACATCTCTCCTTCCTGTTAAAAATGGGTTTGATAACATTTTTGCAGCTAGTCATCCTCATCAGCATCCAGCAGGAACTCCCTGATCTCCTCTCTCATCAGAGACCTGCAGGACATGAACATAGGTTAGAAACAGTTCTCTGCTCATGGCTCTTCTGAGGCTAAGCTGAATGAGTGTAGCACCAACTGAAAGAAAACCGGTGTTTGTATAGTCTAAACCTTTATAGCCATCCCTGCTAGCCAGTCCTTTTCTCCTCATGACCTGGCCTAATTTGCTCCAGACCACATGGTCTCACCACACAGTAAGAATTAGGGCCTAAACAATGCCTACCTTTTCAAATCTGCATGAAGCCTTGCTTTACAGTTTAATAAATAATAGAAGGGCGAGTCTACAACAGTAAAGACCGAAGTCGTTTTAGTAACTGGAGGACTAATATCAGACATGTTAATAAGAAAAAAAGAAAACATTCTTAAATATAGCCCCTCTCAAGATAAAAATGACGAGGTGCTTCACAAAAAATTTAAACATAAAAAAGTTTTTTTTAATGATTAAAAAAATGTTTAAAATGACCAAAAGACATTGTGAATAAAATGTAAGAGAAGGGAGAAAGAAAATTAATAGGAGAGAGGGAAATCTTTGATCAAAGATAACACCAAGGTTCCTTACTTTGTTCTCGGAAACTAATTTAATGACATTCAGGTCAGGTCAATTTCCTTTTCTGAATTTCAGGCCCAAAGATGAGAACTTCAGTCTTGTCTTGATTTAAAAGCAGAATGTTTAGAGTCATCCAATTTTTTATGTCTTCAAGACAAGCCTGTAATCTACCCAACCGATTAGGTTTGTCAGGGTTAATGGATAAGTATAACCAAGAATTGACAGCATAACAGTGGAAGTTTATCCCCATGCTGTCTAATTTTTTTTACCACTTGGAAGCTTATATATAGTAAAATAATTTGTCCAAGCACTGAACCCTGTGGTACGCCACAAGTAACTCTGGTGTATGAAGATTTGTCATGTACATTTACAAAGTGAAATCTATCAGACAGGTAGGATTTAAACCAAACTAGTGCTGTTCCTTTGATCCCTACAACATGTTCAAGTCTTTCAAAAGAACATTGTGATCAACTGTGTCAAAGGCAGCACTGAGATCTAACAAGACTAGAACAGACACAAGACTCTTATCTGAGGCCATGAGAATATCATTTGTAACTTTCACTAATGCAGTTTCAGTGCTGTGATACTCTCTAAAACCAGACTGAAATTCCTCAAACAGATCATTAGTGTTTAAATGCTCATATACTTGGATGGCCACTATTTTCTCAATGACTTTGGATAAAAATGGACAGTTAGATATTGGTCTATAGTTCACTGGGTCATCTGGATCCAGAGAAAGCTTCTTAAGTAAAAGTTTGATTACAGCAACCTTAAAATCCTGTGGTACGTATCCATTTACTAAGGATAGATTGATAATATCTAGAATGGGGCAGTAACCAAAGGAAATGCATCTTTAAATAATTTGGTTGGGATTGGATCTAAATGCAAGTTGAAGGTTTAGATGAAGCTAATATTTTTGAGAACTCTGAAAGCTCAACTGAATCAAAACCATCCATATGAGGTTCTACAGTTACCTCTGATGCTGCCTCACTTATGAGGAAGAAGAAATTGAGGATGCTGATGATTTGTGCGCATAATTATATAAAACAGCATATAAGTCATTAGCTGGCTATAATTTGTTAGTGTCTGGACTTTGGGACAGATATTTTACATTTTTATTCTGTCACGAGACTTTGCCTACCACGAGATGGATGGTTTATCCACTAGAATGTTCTACATGGCTGATTGCTGTCAGCATATTTCATCCATTGGAAACCTGTAAAATTTTATCTTTAATGTTTATGTTGGCGCCCAGAAATAGAACCCCGTCCTATCTTTAGCAGCGCAGTGCAGCAACATGCTGCTGGGTTACGGCAAGCCATAAAGATGTAAACACCTTGCCGTACTGTGCTGTGCTTGAAATGTTTTGAGCCATGATCAGTGTAAACCAAACCATTACCAATAACAGCTTCACTTTGACACAGAGATGCCACAGCTGCAATGTGCTGCATGTGAATTGGGGGTCATTCAGTCCCGGTAACTTGGAGGTTTCCACCATACCTCGTCTCTGACTCATTCCCATTTTCAAGCTATTTTCCTAATGACCTACTAAAAGGCAGCACATTCAATATTAAAGCATTCAGTTGTGTTAATATCCGGTGTTGCTCATATAAGAACTTGGCTTCAACACTTGAAAGATGACTCACCTGCTATGTCTTCTCTGCGCTTCTGAGAGAATGTAGTGAGGAAGATGGTGAATTGAAGACTAGAATGAAAAAAAAAACCTTTAAACGACATATTATTAATGCAATATTTACTAACATACTTTTCTTTCTCCTTCAGCATGGTCTGAGTGTCTAAATCCAGCAGTCACCATGTGTAATACATGTTCTCCTTAAGCATGCATGGAGAGAACATGTATACCCCATTCATGTGGGGTGATATGGGGCAGATTGGCTCTGAATTTTGGACTAATCCCGAGCAGACTGGTAGGTTACTGCCGTTCTCTGTTGAGTGACTCAAAAATCTTAAACCCCCTGACCCGGGAGCCGCGAACACTCAGGCAGAACAAGGCACCCCACTAAAAGTGGTAGGGGGAGGGCAGGCAAAGATGTGCAGAAGCACAAGAATGTCCCAGGAGAGGGGAGGAGTCCAAGACCCAACCTGACATATACAGTCATACACAGACACAGTCACATACTCCCTCCCTCATGCTTACACATACACATACAACCCAAGGCTTACAAAAATTAACGCTAGACACCCACTCACGATCCCCATACACTGTTCACTCTGGTCCCGTTACTGCTGCACAAAGGGTACAACCATCACAGGTTCCCAGAGTTTGCCCCTTTCTGATGGGGTGATGATGAGCAGGCTCCCCCACCCAACACTGAGCAAAGCAACCCACCACCCCAGACCCCAACCAGATGGGCAGCTCCCCGTCCTAGCCTCCAGCTCCAAGATGCCAAGCAACAACAGAGGTGTGCCAAAACCCCTAATCTCCCTCCGTCTGCTCCAATACAGTGTTGATGCGTGTTGATGAGGTGATGGCTGGGGTGAGCGGGCAGTGCAGGCATCGCCTGGCCTACGCCAGCTGATGCCACCACAAAACACCAATTTGCCTCACAGCCCTCTCTGTCTAAGTGCAGTTAAAATTGAAAGTGAGCACCGGCACTCATGATGAGGCTGAAAGGTCCCCTTGCCAAATGCCGTTGAGTGTGCCCACCCCCCAAGGTCCTATGTGTATGTTTGTGTGATGATGTGAGGGAGTAGGAGGAGAAAAATGTGTGGGGATGCAGAGGAATGGCTGGTTGGCCTAAGCCCTCCAGGGAGCAAGCTCCCCCACTGGCCCCAATAGGCTCCTCTGTTCCCAAAATGCCACCCAGGGCATGGAGACACCAGCCCATCTCACCAGGGCCCCTAAGCAGCAGCATCGCAGAGCCCCACGGAGTCCGAGGGCACTGACCCAGGCCCACCCTAGTGGAATATCTACTCCCATCCCTGCATTTGCACAACTTCCAGAATATGACATAAGACATCCAGGTACGGTTGGGTTCTTCCCCTCCTGGACATCCCCTTCCCCCTTGATGGGACAGAATTGTTATCATTTCAGAGGAGCCAAGGTTCATCTGAGGCCCCTGAGCCTGGGCCAGGCACTGCTGAGTGTTCCCGCCTTCTGCCTGGCAGCATACATGTCAGGACCCAATCCTAAAGGCCCCGCGCAGATCCCCACACAGGGCCGGCCGCCCCCACACCCCGAGCCCCCAGGCCCCCACCCAGACCCATTCAGGGTCGACGCAGCCGCCAGGCAGCAACCCATGGCCACCGCCAAGACCCCCCAAGGGGCCCCACTCACAACTGCCAGTAGCCCACCCACAAGGCAACCCAAGCACCTCCAGAGCGGGGCAGCAGCCCCCAAGCCCAAGACACCCTCAGTGAACCCATCTCCAGGGAACGTCCGGATACTCCAAACTCAGACCCCCCGCCCCATCACCCACATCATCCCACAGGACAATATCAATGACCCCCCCCCCCCCCCCCCCCCATCGCTATGTGATGGAACTGATCAAAGGAGCCATGAGAGATTGACTTGAAGTGGAAGAAGATGTCTCAAGTGTAATATGATCTAACAAAAAATTTCTATACTGGTTATTGCAAAGATTCTCTCTATTATTCCAATTTATGGGGATAGTTTTCTTAGCGATGCATATGGCAGTCAGAACCACGTGAACCAAAGGTGTTTCAATCAGGACATCGTCCAGGTTTCCCAGTAAACAAAGAGAGGGGGAAGTTGGGATATGACATTGCAGACACTTTGACAGGTCTTCGCATACTCTACCCCGAAATTCCTGGACAGGAGGAGAGGACCACAGTGTGTGAATGTTGTTTGTGCATTGTGTACAGGTGTCAGATGACACACACCCCATGCTGAAGATCCGATGACCTGTATTGTGTACTCTGCAAAATTTTGTATTGAATTAGTGTAAATTGGGGTGTCTGATCATTTTTAAAGTTTTTAAACAAGTTTGGGACCAGAAGTTCTGGTCAAAACTGACTGATAGATCCACCTCCCATTTTTCAATAGGGATTGCTATTCTATCGTCTATTTTGGACAGTGTCTTATATACTTTAGACATTAGTTTGGGGGGTTTGAGATTACAGAAGTCTAATACCCTTGGTGGTGTTTGTAATTCTACTTTATTAACCCCTACCGTTCCTTTTAATTTTCCTAACGTTAATGTCCTTTGAGCACAAAAAATGCACTTACAAAGCTTCCTATTGAAATATTATTTAATATTTCAAAAGTCCCAATTTTTTTACATGAATTTCATCCTTGGCTTCAGTCCTAACAAAATATAAAAAACCTCTGCTATTGGTTACTAGTCCTAAAATAACTTCATGTTTCAGTGGAGTTGTTTCCACTCACCATGTCCTTGATGGTTAGCTGACAACTGTAACACATCAGCTCTCTCAGGTCTGGAGTATCAACTTCCCTGAAACAAAAACAGAAACCACATTTGTATGGAAGTATTAAACAGAGACATCCATGTTCAGAAGAACAATCCAACCACCTATATTGTCTTCTCTCTTTGGGATTGTAGCTTCAGGGGTCACACAGCCAATCATCTGTCTCCATTTAGTCCTATCTTCTGCATCTTCTACCCTCACATTAACTAACTTTGTCCTCTTTCGGCACATCCATAAATCTCCTTGTTGGTCTTCTTCAGTCTCCTGCCTGGATGGTGGCTGCAACCTTAGCATCCTTCTACCTATGTCATCATTGTCTCCCCTTTGGACATCTAACATGAGCCATGAGCTTTCAGTCACTGAGAACGAGCATTAGACAGCAGCATGCACATTGGTGTTATGTGCCTCAGTCAGTTTGACTGAAGAAGTAGTAGAAGCAATGAAGCACCAAAACCCGAAATTACAACTCCTCAACTGCCTTCCGCATCTCAAAAACATTTAAAAAGTTTAAAAGCCCTTCTTCAAAACTCACTGTAAGACGTTTTTATACAGTCGAGTCAGATTTACATTGGAAATGCTTTTAAACGATGGAGAGAATTTCGTGACCTATGCAGCCTCAAGACAGATGAAGAGTTGGCAATGTTTCTTTTGGACAGGTAAATAATAAGTTATTTATTGTTTTTCAGATCATTTTACTTGAAATCTTTAATTCAATAATATAGATAATAGAGCAGATAAACGCTATATGCTCCATATACTATTGGCTAATGTAGCATTAGCTTGAATGCTAACTTGACCTGAACCATTGTTAGCCAGTGAACTATTTAAGCTAAATTTAGAAGAAGAGAGAGGAACAAAATCACAATGAAACCATGGAAACTCTACTTGGTATATATGCTGTGTGTGTGTGTGTGTGTGTGTGTGTGTGTGTGTGTGTGTGTGTGTGTGTGTGTGTGAGCGCGCTCTGTCTTCTCCATCCCCAGGGAGTCATGGTGGATGGCTGCTTATACTGAGCCAGGAGTCTCAGGAGGTTTCTTCCTGTTAAAAGGGAGTTTTCCTCTCCACTGTGGCTGCATGCTTGCTTAGTATGAGGATTGCTGTAAAGACTCTGACACTAGTCAGTGACTCGATGCAACCTGCTGAGTTCCTTATATAAGAAACCTTTTACTGATCGGCTTAATGACCTGACCTGTATTGGAATGTTTAGAATAAAAAGAATGATTAGCAGTTCATGCAGAACCATGTAAAGGCTGGTGAGGAAAATTGGCCTTTAGAAAAAGATGTACTTATCTGAAACATATGGTCACACTAGTCCTCGGTTAGCTCTACATCACACTATTTAGCCTGCTGCGGTATTAGCAATGATCAAGTGCCAAATATCAGTTTTTTATTAGGTTTTCCTGTTTGGAAAATGCTAATTTTATTAAAGCGAGTGACTAGCAGCTCATGTTGAACTCAATGATGGCTGAGGAGATACTTCACTACTACATGTGTTTAGTAGTTTTTCAAACCGTCATTTCATTATTTCTTACAATAACATAAATGTGTAAAATAAGAGATGGGTATATAACATAAAAGTGTCTCTGTTTCATTTACTTGTTTCGCCTGTTGTGACTGCTACTTTTTATCTTAATATGGGCTTGCCATGTGATTGGTTGATTAGATAATTGCATTAAGGAGAAGTTGAACAGGTGTTCCTAATAATCCTTGAGGTGAGTGTATATCCTCAAGTTGTGGGCACAGTGATCTGTTGGTTTTGTTGTACTTTGTGTATCCCCTTTTTTCTATTTCTGCAGGTCTAGAAGCACATTCCTGTTCATCCCCCCCCCCCCCACCACCTCTTCCTTTCTCTCTCCTTTCTCTTTCACTTCTGTCTCTGTATCTGTTGCAATTTAAAACCACCAAAATTATGTGGAAGTCCCAATGTGTCTGATATTGCCAAGCTACAGAGTGTAACGTGAGGAAATATGGGTTTTCTGTGCCAAAGGTTTCAATTGACTCGGCTGGGTCAAAGCTGGGTCGCTGAGAACTTTCACCCACAGATTAAGACCTGAACGCCAGCGAGTCTGGGAGAAACCATAACATCTGCCACCTGCAGTGCCAGAAGATGTGTTCTCATGGAAAAGCTAGTCATAACAAAGTCTTAAACTTCCTTAATGTTGAATAATCATTATTATCACTTTGCTCATTATAAATGTGTTTTAATCAAATGAATGATTATTATGCTTTGGGTAATCATAATAACTAATGAATCAATGCTTAATTAAATAATGTTTGAAGATGTTATAATGACCTTCACACACACACACTCTCTCACAGTAAACTCCAAAACACATTTGCTCTGACGCACAAGTTTTGCTTTGAGAAGAGAAAGACTTTTGGTAAGTTTCAGTTCATGATTCAGTTTGGTGTTTGACAACGAAAGAGGGAGGACGTGTGAACAACGCCAACGGGGAACGGGGCTGCGGCTCCTTTCTCCCCCCCTCACGCTATTCCTGCCAAGCCAGACAGGAATAGCTGAATTGCAACCGCTAACGCAGACTCGTCCAGAGTCTTTGATTTTCTGAGTAATTAAACTTAAGAAAGCGCATCTGCAAACGCTTCATCATCACGTGTACCGGGGGGCATCTCTGGACCGGGTCGGCGGACACCTTCGTCTTCTCTGCCAGCCGAGGTGCCCTGGATGAAACATCGTCCTTTGACGTTCCGGATCTGAACGAGGGTCCTCGTATGGTGAGGCAGAACACAATAGATAGCGTTTGATGCATCTTTTCCAACAAAACCTAAGTTTATTCAAACCATCACTTTTCACTCAGACACCTGTTTCTTCCTGAAGCAATCTCAGACACCTGCACACACGCATCCATAATCACATCACATCATTCTCAATCTTCAGCACATCCAACACAAGGTCTATTTGAACAAGCTTAAAATATCAACTGTTAAAGATTGTTCAACAAAGTTGCCAATGTTGATTGTTGTTCCCTATGCTTGTCATTTCAAAATCATTAGTTTAATTTGAAGAACTAAATCTTTTAACTTTCAACTTGTCTCTTCATTGAACTGAAACACAGACCCACGGAAATTATCGACAGTTTATCGATGAAAACAACTTTTGAGTCTTCTTAAACTATAAAATTTGGTTATTAATTTATTAAAATTAATATCTCAAATTAATATGTAGAATGGTTCCTCTTTCATAAAAGAGCCTAAACCATTACTCTACATAATTGACAGAGCCTACCTAGGTTCACTACAAGAGCTCCATTCATCCATTCTCTTTCGCTATTCCGGAGCTCCGTAGCTGTGCTGACAATATCTGAGCGTTGGATAGTAGGCCTTGTTTGTAGATCAAGCCCCCACTGCAAGTTGTCAGTTTGTTTAGGAGTTTTTTAAACTCTCCCTCTTTAGTTTATTAAGAGTGTCAACACCCAACAATGGGTTTCAGAAATTTGGTATTGTCTTGTTTTCCCCTAGCAATTTCTGAGGTTGCTACTGATGCAGTAGCTATGAGTTAAATCACCTGCTTTACTTGTGTTACAACCTCCTTCATCTTACCAACTCTGGGTCGTAACAAAACGGTATCTATGTAAGGAAGCTTCCTATCCAACTACATGATGCTAGAACTAGGCTCAGGCTGGTAGCTTCTGCCTGGACCAACAGAAATACCTGTTTCAGTGGAAAAGTACCGCTAAAATAATATAGTATCACACGAACAAACTACTCACTTAGCAGAAGAACAGCAGACAACGCCACCTCCTGTTCCTCTACAAGTCCCTTCTCCTTTAATGGAACAGTACTCCTCAGCAGTAGACAGTTCTGACTCTAGTGGACCAAAGACACACACGACCTTAATCCTAATGTGTACACAGAACTGAATATTTTTGCTATAAAGGATTTCTTTCTTATGAAAGAAAAACAGATTCAATTTGGCAATGAACAAATTCCAGACAGCTACAAAAACCTGCTGGATATAAAAGCTAATGGGATATCTTACCTGGGCCTTGTATTTTAGTGTGGGAGAGCTGCTCTGAGATTAGTGTGGCCTGAAGGGCAGAAGCAACATCTGAGGAGAAGGTAAACATGCAGCTTGAGATGAGGTGTGTTTGTTTTACCAGAAAGAAGGTTAGCAGCTAGCACGACTCACCAGTAACAGTGTCCAGACTGCACAAACAGAGCAGACATCTGCTACCATCAGCAGCAGCTGAGGAGCTCCGACCTGCTGTCTGCAACTTCTCACCGGTTCTACAGACATGGAGGCAGGTTGGTAGTGCCCAGATGGTTACTTCTTACAGCTTGTGTTCTACAGTTCTTCACAACATAGAGGGTCCCTTACTGACCTGTAGATGGTGCTCACAGTGGACGGGAAGTCTGTCTGGAGTTTGGTCACAAAACTTTCAGTCAGACGCTGGATGCTGGCCTTGTCCTGAGTCTACAGGATAGATATAAAAATAACAAATCAAATCAAAGAAAAAGTCAGCTTTTATTACTAACCTAGTCAACATTTTATCATCATGTTTTGATGACTGTAAATAGCAGCTGTAAACCAGATACTCTTAACTGCCATTTGTAATGGTCTGTTCTTGTTGAATCTCAGTGCTGCTTTTGACACCATCACCTAAAAACACACCTCCTCCGCTTGGCGTTTCCAGAACATGTTTGATTTTGGCCCTCTTTTATTTTGAATCCATTCCACAGTTTTCATTGGTTCACTCAATCCATCCACTCAATCCAAATGTGTTTCACACATTTGTCCTTTACCAGAATGTTTCATCTATCTTGTAATTTCCATTTTGTATTTTGTAATTTGTATTTTGTAATTTGAATTTCTTTTATTGTTGATTTATTCAATATATTTACATACAACTGTACAATGTTCAGCGCTTTGGGCTTCCTGACAGGGTTGTGGAAGGCGCTTTATAAATAAAGCTTTGATTGATTGATTGATTGATTGATTGACAATATTCTCTAAAAATGGCTCCAACACATAGGGTTCAGAGGTGCAATGCTAGGTGGTGGCTCTTAGGCCAAGTTTATGCTTGTGCGTCAGTAGAGACATGCAACGCCATTATCCGTCCTTTTCTAAACATCAGTCCAACAAGATGGAGAACGCAAGCTTGAAATTAGACAGGACGTAGCTTTCATCAACAGCGCCACAACTGTTCACTCAAAAACATAAACAGAGCCTAAGATATCTAGCGGCAGACACGGAGCAGCTTGAAGAATATGTCGCGGAAAAACTCTAAAATTATGAACTTTTTATTCACCCATGACTGGAAGAGGAAAATGATACGTAGCAAGTGTTTTATTCGTGGACAGAAATAACAGGAAACGTGTGTTTAGAGGTGGCAAAGCACATGAAGAGGCGGAGGAAAATGATGGACCATAACCCTAACCTTCTGCAGCTCTCAGATGACTTGGTCATGGTGTGTTGGGGGATGGGTGTGTGTGTGTGTGCGTGTGACTAGGAGTACAGGTCCACCATCATGCACTACGTTTACATGCAGCCAATATCCGGGTTATGATCGGGTTAAGGTCGGTATTCGGGTTTCTGAGTTGATCAGAATAACCCATTTACAAGCATGAATAGAAAGAGTTACCTCTAACTTGCATAACCCGATTTAAAATAATATAAATATATAAATGCGGACGTTGGGGTAGCATCAGGATGTATGGACTACGTCCAGACGCAAAATGCCTCATTTCCGGTTCTTCTTGTTCCGGTATCCATGAAAACAACAACATGTTTCCCAGTTCGGAAGAGATAGAGACCGCGTTTGTTTGCGCTTTAGTTTCCTCGTCACTCCAAAAGTGTGGTGCTGTGCCGCGACTCGCCATGTTGCTCCCAACTTGTTGTTTACTTCCGGTGTTCTGGCGCATACAAGACGTCTCGCTACTCTAAAGACCAAGATTCCTTGCGAACAGAGCATGCGCAGAACACACGCTTTGATGGGGATATCCCGGTATGCGTTTACACGACCAAACATTCGGGTTAGAAAAGGGTTACCACAGGTGTAGTAACCGTGTTTTTAAAAACCCGGTTATGAGCATATCCGGGTTTTTGGCGGTGTTCACATGGCCGTGCAGAACCGGGTTATCGTGAATATTCGGGTTTTAAAAGGGTTACTGGCTGCATGTAAACGCAGTGATGAACTCTGTGGACTGGTGTGAGCGTAACCACCATCACTTGAACACCAGTAAGACAAAGGAAATGGTGACTGACTTCCAAACACTCCTCCTCACTCACCAGTAAACATCCAGGGAGCAGACATTGAGGTGGTGAATACTTTTAAGTACCTGGGTGTTCACCTCAACAGTAAACTGAACTGGTGCAACAACACAGATGTTCTGTATAAGAAGGACCAAAGCCGCCTCCAACTCCTGAGGAGGCTGAGGTCCTTCGGAGTGAATTCCCAGCTGCTAAAATTCTTTAATCACTCTGTGGTTGGCTCTGTTATCCACTCTGTTGTGGTCTGTTGGGGTGCAGGCAGCTATGACCGAGATGGGAAGAGACTGAACAAGCTAGATAAAAAAGCTAGCTTGGTTCTGGGGTGCCAACTATATTCTGTTGATGAGACGTGTGAAAGGAGGGTGGTAGGGATGATGACCACCATTCTGGAAAACCCCTCCCACCCACTGCGTTCCACTGTGGAGACCATGGACAGCTCCTTCACAGGTAGACTGAGACATCCCAAAACAGAAGCAACAGCTACCGTAGGCCATTCATCCACTCTGCAGAAAGTTTGTATAACTCCACAGTTTAACTTTATGTTATCCTGTTAATGTCCCAAAGTCATCATCACGCACTGGTGAAATTCATCTCCGCATTTGACCTAATCCCCATGGAGGGGAGCAGTGAGCTGCAGTGGTGGCTCGGGAACTATTTGGTGGTTAAAGCTGAATGTCAAGCAGGGAGGCATTGGGTCCCATTTTGAAGTCTTTGGTATGACTGGACCAGAAATCGAACCCTGATCTCCCAGTGCCAGGGTGGACACACTAGGCCACTGAGCTGTTACACAATAACATCAATGCAATGTTCAATAATGTGCAGTACCGCATGTACATTAACTTGTCGGTATACCTTATATTGCATAGTTCTGGAAATACAAGTTTCCTGGTATTCTTTGTTTTTAAGAGGTTAAAAGTTACAATAATAGTTTACTACCTTTGTGTGTTTACCTGTAATCTTATTGATTTTTTCTTCCTTTTCTCTAAGTGTATCTGAATCTGTAACGAGTTAATTTTCCCACTATGGGATTAATATTCTATTCTATTCTATTCTACTCTATAAATCTCTCTCCCATTTAGAAACAGGCAGAGAGAAGGATAAATCTACTTTGAAGATTGTGATGTAAATTTTAGGTACTAATTTTGGGGGCTGGAGTTTTAAGAAGTTTATGATTATTAATGGAGCCTCTGAGTCAAGATGCCTAGTAACACATCTCAATTGAATAATTGATTTTATTTGAACATATTAAAAAATGTTTTCCTGTCAATTTCATATGTATCCACAAGGGCATGAAATGGTATATACTTAGCACTTTCGATAGCACGCTCTAAGTTAGATATTCCTTTTCCTTTCCATGTTGTGAGGTTCAAAACGTTTTTATTCTGCATTATTTCAAGGTTGCTCCGGATGGGTGTAAGTCTACGAGGAAAAAGTCAGGACTCATTCATTAAAAATAAATGAATTTCAGTATTCATGAATTCAACACAACTTTCTTCCGAGAGAAGAAAGGAATTAAACTGCCAAGGGCGATGTACCTACCATGAGCTCAGGATAATTACCGTAAATCCTCTAATATTGGCCTGTATTCCATTACTGGCCGGGTCTCCTACATTAGCCAGTTTCGCTGTTAGCGGGTGTAAATAAAGGAATGGTCTCTAATAGTGAACGGCTTTGAGGCACAAACCTAGCTGCAGTTTTGATAACTTTAAAGTACTATTGATCTTAAAATATTTTAATACATAGTTACCCACAGTTAATGAATTAGTCACACAAAACACGACGGCAAGTCTGATCACGCATAAACAATAGTCACTTGCTGCTTCCTGTTCTCAAGTCCCGCGTGATGTTGTGACTATCGCTTCACTTTCCAAGAAGCGCTCCGCTAGGGGAGAGGAGATTACGTGGTGATGTCATATATGAGAAGTGCCGACGTAGTTGTGCTATTTACAAACTCTGACAAGCTAATAAATCTTAAAGTACGTGACTGGCGTGGTCAAAACACCCATCATTACTTTTCATTTAAATTGCAGTACAGCATATGGGGGATCCAGGGTGTAAGGCAAAGCGGATTAGAAAATAACTCTTTTAGCCCCGTTAACTTGCATTCATTTTGTCGTTCTCCCGGGGACCCGTGAGCCGATTGGACAGGGAGAAGCCAAAAACCGCTTTGGGGTGATTTAGACGAGGAAATAAAAAGAGAACATGGTCAAAGGCTCCAAAAAGTAGATTTAGCATGATTTAACAAAAACAAAACTTCAAGAATAACAGAAGATGGAATGGAATAAACAAGTTATTCTTAAAAGAACATAGAAAACATTGCTATGGTCTTTCCTTATTTTGAAACAAAGAAATTGCCGTCAGATCCTACCTTAGTGTGTAGGCTTGGAACAGAAACATATGGAACATTGAACATGTGACTGTAGAAAGCAATTTCTTTGGCTGAGTAGTCCCTCATTGGTCTCACTGATATGACGTCACCATATCTGGAGTCTGAAAAACCCTGGAGCAAATACAAAAACCTCTACGGTTAGGGTTAGTTACAAGCTGAATGTCTGAGTTCATAGTGCATACACACCACGTCCTGAGCCAGCTGTGCCCCTCGGCCCAGTGAGATACTGATGAGGAGTTTAACAGCCAGTCTGGTGCAGCTGTCTCCCAGCATGAGTTTACTATAGCCTTTAGATCGAGCTGTATGCACCAGCAAATGATGCCTTTGAGAAGAAAACACACAGCTGAGTTAGAGTGGGATGAGACTGAAAACACTTTTCTGCACAACACCACCTAGTGTAGTAACCTAACTAGTAATTGCACTCTTAGGTTTAGTATTTAATGAGAGGATCAGGACTAACTTCACTAGTAGTAGTAGTAGTAGTAGTACACGTTTAATCCCCAGTGAGGTAAACAGGACTAACCAATCTAGTAGTATGAGTCTCCAATGAGTGGAACAGGACTACCTTAACAAGTAGTAGTAGTAGTAGTATAGTCTGCACTTAGGGAAACCTGACTACCTAACTCGTAGTAGTAGGAGTACTAGTGCAGTGTCAGTTGAGGGGAACAGGACTAACCTCAGAGTGTTCAGCAGGTCTTCTCTGGCTGTCAGAGTCTTAGCAGATCCAATCAGCTGCTGGAGTGCACATGTCTGGGACTCATTCACATCACATGGCAAGATATTTTCTTGTTCTTCAGGGGACACATCGTTTTTTCTACCATGTAGGAGGAAGTGATCCACAGCTGCTTTGTAGGCACCAGTAACTGGTTCTGACGGTTGTTGGACCGGCATTACGACTGAAGTTGGAAGCTCCAAAACCTTGGAGGAAATGTGATAACGTCAGTTTTTTTCTTTTGCTATTGGAGATTATAGTGGTGACTTTTACATTCATGTGATTAACGTTAAAAAGTCGCTTTTGAAAGAGGACACTGATGTACATACAAAAGCACTGAGAGCAGCTCCTTCAACCCACTTGGTTTTATAAGGATTAATCATTCATTCATGTTCATACTGACCTGCTCAAGAGGAAGGATGTAGAAGGGGAAACCTGTAGTTGTGAACAGCTCCTGTAGCTCAAACGCAGTCTTCTGTCTCATCTCCTTAGACAGGCCTACAACGCCTCCCTCTGAAACATGGACAAAGATCTAGTAAGCCAAGTTATCCAGACATATACAATTTGATCAGGGGCGTCATTTACAAAATGGGGTAAAACCTGATTTAAACTTTTCTGTTAGCTCGGGTTCGAGGCACTGAGGAAGACGTTTCCTCTTTGAACTTCTCCTTTGCCTGGTGATTGTCGCAAAGCAATTCATTGTCAGCAGAACAACATTACAGTCATGCATGCGGTCCTCAATAGTACGGATGTTCCGATTGGAAAGAAAGAAATATTTTTAAATGGCGCCTCTCAAGATAAAAATCATGAGGTGCTTCACTAAAAATAATAAATACAAAGAGTAAAAAAGAAAAAAAAAAAAAGATTAAAAATATGTTTAAAATTAGAAAACAAATTTATGATTAAAAATGTAAGGAAAGGGAGAGAGAAAATGAAAAGGAAAGAGGGAAATTACTGGATTCCGGATAAGGTGGAATAAGAACAGAATAGGAGAAGGTGGCGATGAAGGTCGAACCAAAGCCTTAACAGGTGAGTCTTCAGCTGCTTCTTAAAGGAGACCACTGAGTCCACTGATCTCAGGCTAAGGGAGAGAGAGGTCCAGAGTCTGGGGGCCACAGCAGCAAATGATCTGTCACCTTTGGTCTTTAGCCTGGTGCTGCACAACCAGTAGGCTTTGGTCACTGGACCTCAGGGACCTACTGGGGGTGTAGGGACTAAGAAGATCACCAATGTAAGATGGTGCTTGTCCATGTAAGGCCCTATAGACCAGAACCAGGATCTAGAAATGAACCCTGAAGTTTACTGGCAGCCAGTGAAGCTGGAGGAGAAGCGGGGTGATGTGGGTGTGTTTGGAGGACTTGGTCAGAAGTCGAGCACAGGCATTCTGAACCACCTGCAGACGGTTCAGGGAGGTTCTGCTCAGACACCTCTACCTCAAGATGGCGCCAGTGTTACCGGCTTGCCGTCTGTCAAATTTTGTATTTTTTGTGTTTTTGCTCATTTTAGCTTGTATTTTGCATGATGCCCAACCCAGAATTGTGTATGAGCTGAATACCTTATTCAAAATCGGTTCTTCTGCTGGATTTTTACCATCTACGGCTGGAGAGTACAGGAATAATTCTCCCCCTTACCTGGATGGACTGACGGTGTGTTGGGAAGCTAAGTGGTAACCGCCGTGCTGGAGGAGGAAATGTAGGAAACGGGGTTCTCGTGGGGGACGGCTTGTCAGGTGGAAAGCCCTGAAGAATATCTTTACTGGTGGTTCTCGTACAATCCTGTGGGCAGCTACAAAATTTGTGGTGCCGTGGCGAGTTCTGGATCTGGTTGGCTCATGGCTCGTCCCTGTTGCTGGCTGTCCAGGTGAATGCGGTGGTCGTCCCCCTCCTTCCCAATGGTTTGATCAAAGAGGAATCAACTTGCTGAATCTTGGACCAGTGAATAGAGCTCCAACTATCATTGGAGCTAATGTGTCATCTTGCTTGAGGTGGGGCCTGGGCAATGCTAGGTCGGTGGCTATCAAGACGTTCATTTTAAATGATTTTTTGTTACACATGGTCTGGATATTCTTTGTGTAACGGAGTCATGGATTACTGCTGGTGAGTCCTTTGCCCTTAATGAACTAGTTCCGGCTGACTGTGTTTTTATCAATGTTCCGAGGGCTAAAAGGCGTGGAGGGGGCCTAGTAGTTGTATACAAAGCTAATGTCAAGATTAAAAGACTTATCCCATGGTCCTCTAACAGCAGTTTTGAACTACGTTTGTTTTAACTTGGTCACCAACAACAACCACTCCTCTGTGCGGTGGTCTATCGACCCCCAAAATATAGTAAGGATTTCTTATCTGAGTTCAGTGAATTTTTGGCTAATTGTGCATCTCGTTATGATCAAATTCTGTGTAACGTGATGAAGGAACCATCTCTCCCCTCTAACAGTTAGCCAGCTGGGAAATCCTGTCGTTGTTACCAACAAAACAACGGTTCCTTCAGAATAAAAGCTGAACCCGCTGACCCAAAGGGGGGTCCCTTTTGACGCTGTGAAACACCTGCAGTTTTTACCTGGAGACTATCTAAAGACTGGTTTGTCGTGCTGAGGACGCTGCTTCGTCAGCTCCAGTACCAGTGGAAGGTCGTGGACCTGGCAGCCTGATCTAAGACGGAAGTCCCACCACGGGTAAAGTAGAACAGCACAGATAGCGTCTCATTTGTTTTCTGACCACGGTTCAAACGTTGATCAGTTAGGAGCAAAACATCATCTCCCACTCAGACTCGCTTCTCCAGAACGGAGGTTCTGAACTGACATCGCACCAACACACACTCCACCCCACATTCATTCCATTAGCATCCATCACTAGAGAGTTAGTCCTGTTAAACTGTTTATAATAATTTAGATAATAAATTTTGCTTAAACGTTGGAGGTCTCTCTATTCTCTTGTCTCTCAGTTCATGCAAAGTGTATTAAATTTCCCTGTAATAAAAAGGACCACTCTTCTGATTTTAAAAGCCCAGTGTCCAGAGATGGGGTCCATGCCAGATATGGATCATTAATATCTCTGGTCATTAATTAAATTGTAATAACCTTCATTTCCATTACATCTGCTAATGGAAGATTTTAATATTCATGTTTGTTGTCCTGGAAAACCGCTGGTCACAGATTTTATTAATCTCATGAACTCTTTTAACTTTATTCAAATTGTTAATGGGGCCACTCAGGTATGTGGTCACACATTGGACCTTGTTTCGTCATTTGGATGTACTGTGTCTAACCTTTGTGTTCATGATGCAGTCTTTTCGGACCATAAGCCGGTATTATTTGCCACTAACATGGGTGAGTGTATGCTGAAATCTGTTCCTCCTGTTACACTTTCTCGCTCTGTGAATTCAGCTACCTCAGGACAATTTTTATTTTTATTCAGTGAAGCAGGCTTCTTTTATCAGATGGGAGAAGTCTGGATGGCCTGCTAAGCTGTTTTAACAATATTAGTAAGGACATTCTGGACACTATTGCACCTCTTTGAATAAAGAAGGGAAATCGTGCTGCTAAGTCATGGTCAACTGAGCTCACGCGGGCTGCAGGAGATGTGAGAGAAAATGGAAAAAGGACAAACTGCATGGCTCCCTGATTGCCCTAAGGGAAAGCTGGAAAAATCATCAGGAGTTTGTTAAAAAGGCAAAGACTGACTATTATTCAAACCTAGTCGCTTCTAATTGTAACAACTCTCGGATGCTTTATGCCTCAATTAATGCTGTGATAAATGTGGATAATGGTTTCCCTGCACAGCTATCAGAAGACATGTGTACTAGTTTTCTTAGGTTTTTTATTGAAAAGGTGGCATTGTTGCATTCTGCACTGTCAAGAGCAAATATGCAAACTCCCTCATTTCCTTTGGATAGACATTTAGAGTCTTTTCGGCCAGTATCCCTTGATGACTTAGTTAATTTGGTGGACGTAATTAAACCGAGTGGATCTCCTGAAGACATCATACCACCACGGCTGTTTAAGGAAGTCTTTCATGGAATAGCACCATTAATATTGAAAGTTATTAATAGCAGTTTGCCCTCTGGCTATGTCCCAATTGATTTTAAAAAGACGGTTATTAACCCACTGTAAAAGAGATCGGGGTTAGATGTTATGCAGCATTGCAATTACCGGCCGATTGCAAGGCTCCCTTTTCTGAGTAAAATTCTGGAAAATGTGTCTATACTCAGTTAATGGATTTCCTAGAAGAGTCTAACATCAAGGACACTTTTCAGTCTGGCTTTAAAGCTTTTCATAGTACGGAAATGGCACTGATAAAGGTATTAAATGACATTATGTTAGAAACTGATGGGGGAAATCCTGTGCTACTTGTTTTGTTGGACCTTACAGCTGCGTTCGACACTGTGGACCATGAAGTGTTGCTCCATCGTTTGGAGTATAATGTAGGAATCTCTGGTCTGGCCTTAGACTAGTTCAGATCTTATTTGAAGGATAGGACTGTAAGTGTAAGGATGGGTGGGCTTAGTTCTGGATTCACACACCTACGGTGGGGGGTCCCACAGGGTTCAATATTAGGACCACTATTGTTTTTGATTTACATTTTGCCACTGGGGACATCATGAGGAAGTATGGAATTCGATAGCATATGTATATGCTGACGATTGCCAACTTTACTTACCCTTGGATTATAGAAGTGACTGTCCCATTATTACCTTAATGCACTGTCTAACTGAAGTTAAGTCATGGTTGACGGACAATTTTTTATGTCTGAATGAAAGCAAGACTGACGTAGTGCTGTTTGGGTTACATCGTGATTTAGAGCGATCAAAACTGGATTGTAGGGATATGAATGCCTACCTACGTTCTTTGGCAGTCAACTTAGGAGTGACATTAGATAACGCTTTCACCTTTGACGCACATGTGGGTGCGGTTGTATCGTCCTCTTTTTACCACTTGCGACGTCTGGCCAAAGTGAAGTCATTTTTAACTAGAAAGGACCTAGAGACTGTTGTGCATGCGTTTATCACCTCTCATTTAGACTACTGTAACTCCGTCTTAATTGGGGTGAGAATGAGTACAGTAGCTTATCTGCAGCTTGTGCAAAACATTGCAGCAAGATTCCTAGAAGGGAAAAGGAAATATGACCATGTGACACCCATCCTGGCAGATCTGCACTGGTTACCGGTCGCTTTTAGAGTGTGTTTTAAAATTCTTTTATTGGTTTTAAGGCACTGAAAGGGATGGCACCAGAATATTTATCTGACTTGTTACAGCCATATATACCTAGTCGTTCGCTCCGCTCATAGAGTCACCATATGCTTCTAGTCCCCGCAACTAGGCTCAAAATAAGAGGAGACAGGGCATTTTTGGTAGCAGGCCCGAAATTATGGAATGATCTTCCATTATCTGTGCGACTCTCCATGTCAGTAGAGGTTTTTAAGAAGGCGCCGAAGACCCATTATTATAATCTGTCTTTTTAATCTGTGTGTTAACTGATGTTGTTTTGTATTTTGCTGTTTTTAATTTTTTTATTTGGTTT